TGAAGTACTTTCTGTGGCTTGGGTGGATAACTGCATCAAAATAGGAATCCTGTTGGTCCATGTACCAATCGTTGGGATTTAAGGATGGGGAAATGGAGGCAGGGGACACCATCCTGAATTTGTGCTTATTGGTAAGATGTTCAATTTCCTTAAGTCTAGGAACCCCCTCTCATTTGGGGTGAAAATATCAGGAGTAGAACTGACTTCCCTATGGTATAAAGGGCCCCCTCCCTTCCAAGAGCTAGAAGAAACTGCAGCTCTTGACGCAGTACAGTTTTGTGAGGAGGACCCTGAATAGGGAAAGGGGAGGATGCTGGGGGTGGGGCAAGAACTGGAATTGGATGGTGGATCCCAGTTCCACAAGTCTCTAGAACCCACTGATTAGTGGTTATGAAGTTCCAGGCAGCAGAGAAGTGGTACGACAGGTTTCCAAAGGGGGGGGATGGGTTGGGAAGATCCAGAATAACTGGCGCACTGCAGCCAAATTGGCTGCCTTGAGACTGATGGGTCGAACATATTCATGCCAAAGCAGAAGGCTTCCTTCGTGGAAATCTGTGCCGCTTTCTGGAGGAGTCAGGTGGAATGGAGGGCTAACTATGGTGCTGTTGAGGCTTGCCTTGCCTCCTCTTGGGGGCTAGCTACTCACGTACGTAGCCAGGGTCCCGGGCGGGGCTGTACAGCCCATGCTGCTGCCCAGCTTGCTGTGGCTTTACTCCTGCTGTTCTTCCACTAATTAGATCAATGCTCCATCTGCTGCCCTCCCACCTCTGATCGCGGTGGAGACATACCCTTTGAGAAGGACTCTCAGATACTACATTTGTCCCTACCAGGCCCGTCACCTAAACAGATGAGAAAGGCTCCACTTTTTATTCACAGAAAATTGTAATACATTTAATGGCAGAGGGGTGGGAAAAGAAGGAAGGATTGGAAAGTGAGGCCACGCCGCAGCATCTACATCTACAGCAGGGCGGGTGCATGAAACCTGTATGGTGCTGTGACCATGTGGGTCAGGTCGCAATGCCCGGAGGGAGAGGCGTCGCCACGATGTGGGTCATGGGCTCTATTCAAGTTCACGATTACCATGAGCACCACACCCAACTCACAGCCTGACAGAGGAGGCATCTCGTATGCCTGTCATTAACAGGCACAAATGCCTGGCAACCTTTAGAGACATGTTAGATACATGTCTAAATGGCCATTAGGGCCATTTTGCATTAGGTACTGTAGAGTTTGAAATTAGAAATACAAGTGTACAAGACTTGGGAGGAGATGTGGTTAGATGATTAACAAAGAAAGCGAATGGTTCCTGTAGTCTGTAAATCGCAAGATCAAAAGGAAATATTAACACTGAGAAGAAACTTCGGTGCAATAATGTCATTGTATGTCTCTTGAAAGTTTGTGGTAAATTGTCTAAGAGGGGCAGTTTTTAAAACCTGGGGACTTATGTGTGACTAAGCTCGAACCAGAATTATTCAGAAGGATTTCCTATAGAGGAGAACAAAGGAAACATTATCAAACCCAGACTAACGACTATGCTAACTCCGATTTACACAAGGACAAACTGCTGATAAGCCAGGAAAAGCAAGCTTTGCTGCCAACTCCGACGGAGTGGGTGGGTACAAAGACATTCAGGGTCCATGTACCAGCCAGCCAGGTGCTGCTGGCTAAGAGTCTCGGGCCAAGGGCACTAGGCGTGCACACCCCAACGGTGAAATGTATATGTGCACAAGCATTTGCGGAACAAAGCGCTGCTCAGCCAACAGCCCCATACAGCTATCATAGCAAAACCCTCACGTTAGATAAGGGTTGGCTGGGGACCATGGTAAACTCAGACAGTTAAATAGCTAATCATACCTCTCTCTCTGCCTCCCTGGTCCAATCAAAGCTATGACCTCACCCACCCTGTCTACCACACACCTGACTTCTTTCTCTTCTCCCTCCGTCCAAGAGAGCAGGTGAATGTAGCCACTGAAGTCGGTGGCGACTGCCCTCTGCCATGAGACACGAAATGCAGTTAAGTCTCTTCCCACGGCTCCTGTGCATCACACCTGTATTATGTGGTGCCAGAAGAAAACAGAATTGTGGCCAAAAATGGGGCAGATGAAGCCTGAATAGCTCAGTCGGGACAGGAACCCAGCAGAGAACTGGAGCTGGCAGTTGACATACTCCCAGCTGGAGTCAAGTGGCCTGGCATGAGTAGAGAAAGGGGGAAATCCTCCAAGCTGCTCCATGTGGCAGGCCCAGAGGTGCTGGAGAACTACAATCCAGTCCCTTCCCTGGGATGCCTACAAATCATTACTCGTTGGCAGCGATTGGGCTCACAGCCATGTCTCACCTTCTTCTCCTCCCGGGGTTGTTTATTCACCTGTTGCACTTTGTCTCAATCCTAGACTGTGAGCTCTCCAAAGCAAGGACTCTCTCTGTGCTACTTGTGTGTAGAGTGCCCCATACAATCCTTGATTGGGGTTTTTAGGCACTCCCACAATACAGACAATACATACATTAATTCATAAGAATAGTGGAGCTGCCAACGTCCGGGTACTGGTCCCCCTGGGCCTGTCTGCACTGTGAAACTGACTGCACAAGTACAAGCCAAGGCTACGGCTGGGGGCGGGGGGAAGAGGAAGTGTCTTTTAACTTGGTTGTAACACAGTTAACACGGGACCAAATTCACAGCTTGAACTAGGGGGGAGGGATAGCTCAGTGGTTTGAGCATTGGCCTGCTAAACCCAGGGTTGTGAGCTCAATCCTTGAGGGGGCCATTTAGGGATCTGGGGCAAAAATTGGGGCTTGGTCCTGCTTTGAGCAGGGGGTTGGACTAGATGACCTCCTGAGAATCTCCAACCCTGAGATTCTATGATTCAAGCCTCAGCGCCCCCCCCCCCACCTCCCACTTCACTCTACATACAAATCATCCTACCCCAGTACTTGGACCCAGGATCCACGGGGGCGGAGGGTCTGAGCCTGCGTGAAGCTGGGACCAAGGGTTCAAGCCCTATTGCTTTGCCATGTAGAGGCAGCCCCACTGGACTGGGAGCCTGCCAAAAGTATCCCATGATCCCAGAGGTTGACTTTCTTTGCCCTCTGGACAGGCGAGTTTTCCCTCGCTGCACCATGAACTAAGGCCCACAACTGGGGAGGGCACAAGGAAGCCTGGCATATGGGTGATTGGACTTGGGCCTGCATACGTAGACATTGGAACTGCAGGTGGTGACCCAGGATTCAACAGTTCCTAACCTGTGGTTACAAATGAGCATAGATGCTCAAGCCCTAGGTTAACAAACCCAGGGTCTCCTAATTCAAGTTCTATTAACCCTGGGCTGTCATTGCTGTGTAGACATACACCAAATAGCCTTAAAAATGGATGATCCCCAGCCAGAGCAGCTGTGTTTTAACATCAGCAGCAGGACCTTGGTGTGGACAAGGCCAATAAGGACGCTGTGGATTTTCTATTTTATTCAAGCTGTTGCTTACCTGAGGCAGGTGGGAAGCTAGACAAGAGCCAATCAATCTGTAATAGTATCAGTAACTTGCACATTAATTCCCATCCTCTCTGTACTCCTCACTGACTTGTTAACAGAGACGTCCTCTCCTTCCAGGGCCTCACTCCAGGGTGCAGTTATCAAGCCATCCGCTTCAGCAATGATAAGCGATGCATTAAACACTAGTGCATTAAACCTCGGGGGAAGGTGACTACTGGGGAGGGAGAGGAATGAGGGACCACCAATGTCTCTCTGGCATGTGTGTAGGGGTCGGAGGGTGCCTCTGTGTGTGTGTGTGTAGGGGTGCTTGTGTGTGTGTGTAGGGGTCTGAGGGTGTGTGTGTGTGTGTAAGGGGTGTAAGGTGTGTGCATGTGTAGGGGTGCTTGTGTGTGTGTAGGGGTCTGAGGGTGTGTTTGTGTGTGTGTGTAGGAGTCTGAGGGTGTGTGTGTGTGTGTAGGGGGTCTGAGGGTGTGTGCATGTGTAGGGGTGTTTGTGTGTGTGTGTAGGGGTCTGAGGGTGTGTTTGTGTGTGTGTGTAGGAGTCTGAGGGTGTGTGTGTGTAGGGTTCTGAGGGTGTGTTTGTGTGTGTAAGGGGTGTAAGGTGTGTGCATGTGTAGGGGTGCTTGTGTGTGTGTAGGGGTCTGAGGGTGTGTTTGTGTGTGTGTGTAGGAGTCTGAGGGTGTGTGTGTGTGTGTAGGGGGTCTGAGGGTGTGTGCATGTGTAGGGGTGTTTGTGTGTGTGTGTAGGGGGTCTGAGGGGGTGTGCATGTGTAGGGGTGCCTCTGTGTGTGTGTAGGGGTCTGAGGGTGCCTCTGTGTGTGTGTGTAGGGGTGTACGGGTGCCAGTTGTGTGTCTGTGTGTAGGGATCTAAGGGTGCCTCTGTGTGTGTAGGGTGTTTTGGTATAAGGGTGCCCGGGTGTGTGTGTGTCTGTGTGTAGGGGTGTGAGAGTGCCTTTGTGTGTGTGATGGTCTCTCCGTGCGGTGGGACCTGCTGAGGGCTCAGGGTGGCTGGGAGGTGGGCAACCAGCCCGCTCCCGGCTGTCCTTCAGACATGCCAAACCCAGGGGGGGAACACACAAATTGGGCTTGGTTTTGGCTTATTTGGCTTGTGAGTTGCTTGCCGGCTAGGTTTTGGCTTGTAGCTTGTTGCTTTTTCTATTATCTGTTTGGACTGGCTCCTGGCAAGCCGGGGCCAGGGGCGGCGAGGGGGCCAGGCTGCACCGGGGGGCTCCCGTCGCACCGAGCGGGGGGGCTCCCCGGCGCCGGCTTGCTTTGAGATGGGCTCAGTGGGATGTTTGGAAGAAAGCCGGGGCGCTTCTCCCCCCGCTGAAGGCGCCCTGCCCGGCCGGCTCCCGGGACGGCGCAGGTGAATCCCCGGACGCCTCCGAGCCGCCCCGGGGCGGAGCCAGGCGGGAACCCGGCCCACGGGCGTGGGGGGCCCCGCTGCGGAGGCGCCGGCGCAGCCCCGCAGCCGCCGCCGCCCTGCGCGCCTGGCGCTCCGCGGGGGCTGCCGGCTGCTTCCTCCGCCGGCCGGGCGCGGGACCGCAGTCCCAGCCCTCGCTCGCCGCCGCCGGAGAGCCGCTCCCCGCCGCGCCCCGCCGCTCGCCCCTGCGGGACACAGGTACCGGCTCCGCGCCGTCGGCGGGTCGCCAGCCATCGGGGGGGGCCCGGGCTCCAGGCTCCAGCGCGGGGGGTGTTAAGGGGTGCAGCGATCAGGTCGCTAAATAAGGCAGCGCCAATACTCCGGGGCTCTTTCCTTGCGCCCTGCACCGCTCACCTTGGGCGAGGAGGGGCTGGTCAATCCCTTAGGAAGAGGCGGCGGGTGGGAGGGGGGGGCGTCAGGAATGTGTTTGCCTGGCAGAGGTGGGCAACGCTTGGCAAGGGGCGAGGGACTTTCCCTTTAAATCCCCAGGTGCCCGCCTGTACAATCACTGGCCCTCCCTGGATTTCGGCCAAGGGACCCTGCAACCAGCTGAAGATCTGTGGCTAGTGGACTGAGCCGCCGGCAGGAATCTCTCGTTCCGGGGGCTGGCAGGGAAGGGGGAGGGGGGGCTAAAGGGACCCACTTATTTGAGACGTGCCGCTGCAAAACTACTAAAGACGGGGCTTTCGTACCCATGGGTACTCCTGTAAAACGGACAGGCTGGGGCCAGGTGTGTCTTTGATCCCTCAGGAAGGCCCTGAGTTTTAAGGCGCACCTGGCTAGGTGGATGTCTGGGTGTTTTTCAGCCTCTTGCTAATGAGGCAGTCCTGCGGTGGGGTTTGGGTCAGAAACGTTTCGATGGCTCTGGGACTGGCAGGCTGCTGGTGAGCAACTCCGGAGGTCACAGAGGAGTCTTCGCTGGGTGCGTCTACACTGCCCTCGGGGGCGCGCCTGGCTCAGGCTAGCTGCCTGCCTCCAGGCTCGCCCTATCCCCCTTGGTCAGAGCTCCCCGGGCTAGCCTGGAGCTGCAACGTCCACACCGTTCTCTTTAGCACACTAGCTCGAGTAAAGACTGCGTGCTCTGCTTTTCCAGTCAGCAGGAGCTAGACGATAAGGGGGTCAGTCTGGGGGGTAACTTCCTTTGAGGGTTTGTATTAAAAAATCCAGTCCCAGGGTGCATTACAATGCGCTGGAAGTGGCTCAGGTTAGATTGCAAGGACAGTTCGGCGTGAGAGCGATTGCGTGTCTTCCCCCCGTGTCTGCTGGATCTGTCTGGCCAGCCCCGGGGAGTAGGGAGCCCCCCAACTAAGGGTGGGGATGAATTCCATTGCCATTAAACAGCGCATCCTCCAATTGCCCCCCACACCTACGGCCGCTCCCCACAGCTGAGTGAAAGGATCCTGGAAAACCTTCCCACAGCAGCAGCAGGGGAGGGCTCAGCTGCGTGAACAACTGTTGGTCAGACCACAAGGCAGGCAGGTATGGATAAGCCCGGCCTGGGGGCTGTGAAGGCTCGTTGGGCTGGGCGATAGCTTCATTCCAGCTAGGGCTGAGCGATCACTTTATCCACTGATCCAGCCATACCAAGGTCTGACTGCAGAGCCTAGTTCAGGGGGGTTTTCAACCTTTTTTCATTTGCAGCCCCCTAAAAATTGTTGAGCGGAGGCACAGACTCCTTTGGAAATCTTAAACCACTGCCCTAGTCCCAGCAACTCAGTCCTGTCCCTTGCCGGAGCCCTTCCATCTCTTGTCCCTGTGACCCTATAGCCGGTTCACCTCCGCAGACATAGTCTTGTGGTGTTGGACCATGTTGAACCGCCTGGCGGTGCCAGCCCTGAAGAGAACTTCACTCTGATGATTCACTGAACATCTGGGCTCACCCACCCCTGCGTTTTAACAAGGAGGGTTGCATCTGCCCCTGCTAGTACCACCTCAAGTGAGGTCTACCTCAGCCTTCCCTTGCAGAACCGCTGACACCCCAGAGAGCCCTTGTTGTCCCAAGGGATGCCTAGTGTGGATTTCAGATCATGTCAGCTCGCTCTTGGTGGTTCCAGCTAGCAGTCAGGATTTGTCCAGAGCAACAAGTGCATGGATCTGCTGCTTGCTGGTCTTCCAGCAGAAGCCACAAGAGACCAGTTAGAATCCTCTGCACTGTCTATGCGGCTCTGATCTGCAGCGCTCGCACAAATCAGGCGGTGATGATAAATGTTACATGTTTGATCGCCGTCCAAATCTTAATGCAGCAATTTGGAGGGAGGGGAGTGGGCAAAAGGTGGAGAGGGAGGAAATCGGAAAGCGACAGGTTTGTAAACAGCAGCAGCAGTGGTGGGAAAGGGGATCTCTGATCTGATGCTTTCAAGCTGTAGTGGCAAGCGCAGTTACCTCAAGGTTTGGGAGCACGGCTGGGTTTCTGATGGAGGCAGTTTTCCTAGCTGTGTGAGAGCAGCCGTCCCTCTCAGTGAAAGAGCCCAGGGGGCCGATACAGGACTACTGAGTTCTGTTGAGACCACCAGGGGAACTAATTGGTGCCGGTATGGGTGGTGGTTCCATCATGTGGACACCTGCTCACGCGTAACCAGACCGAGACCCACCAACTCATTTCCCAGCAGCTCCAAAGCAGCTGTTTCATGGCACCAACGTAGATGAAAGGCTCTCCCATCCCCTTTTTGAGGCTGGCATCTTAAAACCATGGTTTGGTGGAGGGAAAGGGTGCAAAAGGCATAACAATGAGAGCGGGAAAGTCATGACACACAGTGCTGGAATGAATGCTAGGTTGTGTGTCATGGGAAGTGATGGGGAAAGCCAACGACAAACCCTTTATTTTAGAAGGGCTTACGGCTGTTTGTTAACAATTAACGAATAGGTCATGACCATTCACCACCCCACTGCTGCACTGCCCAGGACCCGTGCTGACATCTGTGTAGGAGGCTGGTGAAGTGTGCGGGTGACAAAGCACTAACGCAGCCCAAGGAATCGTCCCCCTGGCACAAGGCAGCCGTAAAGCCGGCCAGAGGAAGATCCCCCCCCATTGGAGGGGGATCCCACAGAGCCAGTGTAGTAACTCCTGCTACACCCATTCCTGGCTGTTGGCATAGGGAGTGTGGCTGGGAACAAGGTGGGTGGACAGAGCTTCCCAGGACCCCGCCGATCCCAAGCTTCCATAACAGGCCCTTGGAGTCACTGGCAGCCAGTGTAAGCGACAGCAGGGCATGAGACTGCTCTGATTGATGCTGGGGACTGGACCTGCACACAGGCGAGCAGCCCAGGATCAGGGGCCAGCTCAAAGCCGTCTTTGCCTCCACCCCATCCCAGCGTGCACTGTGCATACCAGGGTTGAGATTGTGTGCCCAGAAGGTGAAGCCCAGTGGAGTTTGGGGACAAAGCTGGCTTTAAGACACTTCTGTGACCTCAGGATTTGGGGCTACGTTAGGGACTTAAATGACCTTCCAGGATAAACTAGAATACCACTGGGGGTGCTCCAATCCACAGCAGCCTCCCATGGGTGGCTCTGTAGTCCTGAATAGCCCAGAGTCTCACAGGGGATGTGCTAAGGACACGTTCCCTCCTGCCTCCACCACGCCTTCCCAGATCAGGTGGGGGTGCCCTGGTCTGTGAGAGGGGCACTCTGGGGTGGACTGGCAGGGGGTGCAGGTCATGACGGGGTGCACTGGTCTGGGTGAGTGGGACACTCTGGGGTAGAATAGCAGGGGGTGCAGGTCAGGGTGAATTTTCTCCCTGCCCCTTGTAGCACAGTTCCAACCTCTATACATTGCTGTCCCTGGGTCCCAAGTTGAGATCAGGGCCCATGACTCATTGGAAAAAATCCCTAAGTGGCCTTGGTTTTGTCACCAAAGCCACAGTGTGACAGACACCCAGCCTCACCTGTTATGGATCCCAAGGGAAAACCAACCCCCCACCCTTCAACAAAATCCCAAGAATGTATGCCAAGCGCTGCCTTTCCCTTTCCAGGGGAGAGCACAAAGGCTTTTGTGAGGTCTGATGCATGGCCCCAGGTTGTGTGACTCACTCCATGCTCCGCGGGACTTGGCAGGTTACCGATTGCGCTTGAGTGTCACATGAGTTTATGCCATCCCCTAGGAATTCTGCATTCATTGAAATGCCACAAACATTCAGCCAGCCGTGATCAGACTACAAAGGAGTCTATAAAGCACAGCGAGGCTGCTTTACCCAGCCCAGGAACATTTCCAAGGTCTCTTTGTACACAATGCTGCCAGCTTTCTCAGGACTTCCAAAGTCACAGACACACATCTTTGGGTCTGATTCTGCAATCCCAATCCCTGCCTTTACCCCTGTATTGTGCCATAGACTTCCATGGCATTTTTCTTGATTGACATGCATTCAACTGAGAGCAGAATCTGCCTCCTCCTCATAAAAAGGTCTGAGACTCCCATGACATCGCCCTGTCTTTGCCACATCTATGACTCCCAGGATCAGAATAATGTGTCTTACGCCTAGCAGGAGGGGAGTGGCAAAAAAGGCCCAGCCAGGAGTCAGCACAGACAGAGCAGAGTAGGGCTTGTTCCATAATGAGTTTCATGCTTCCAAATTGTTGACCTATTCAGGCACTTACAGAGGGATTGTCTGCAGGGATCTGTTGGCATGATGCTAATACTTAGCATCTCTCCTCCCAAGATCTCAAAGCCCTTTATGTTATCCCTGTCTTATACATGACGGTATCTGAGGCACAGAGAGATTGTGTTTTGCTGAACGCCACCCAACGAGTCAATGACCAAGCTGGGAATAAGAAAAGGAGTATGTGTGGCACCTTAGAGTCTAGGTGCCACACATACTCCTTTTCTTATTGTGAATACAGACTACCACGGCTGCTACTCTGAAACCTGTCAAGCTGGGAATAGATCCCAGATCTCTGGACTCCCAGCACTAATCCCTGTACCATCCAGAACCTCTGTCTTTTTTGCTCTTTCCCGCATGTTCACTGGCACCCATAGGTGAATGTCACTCCACAGCTATTGTAACACTCAGTGACTGCATTTATCTTGCACCTTGTATCCGGAGAGCCCCAAGCAGCCAACAAAGTGATTACAGTCTGTGTGTGCAGGAAAACATTGAGTACACACTTGTGTGCGTGTCTGGATCACTTTACCCCATCCTGCCGTCCCACCACATCCCCCTATGGAAATGCACCACTAGAGAGGAGGGCAGCAGTTTAAAAGCAT